TCAAAGCTTTTAATCAAGAAGGAAGCAAAACTCAATAACCGGTCCCTTCACTTAAAGAAAAGAGTAGAAAATATGGGTTAGCACAAAAATGTATCAAGTATGGAAGCCATGCATAATAAATCATTAAGACATGCAAAAAGGGACAATTTAGTTGAAATCATGCACTTTATCAACTTTAAGAGTCATCATGCACAAAAGTGTAAATACATAAGTCAAACAATTTTATAAGCAACCCTAAGCTATACTTGTTCAATGCATAGATAAGATCCTATAATCCTATCTAATACTAAGTACCACTTTTAGGCAACCAGGTTCATAACTTGGAAATAGTAAAGTCACTCATAGAAACTATCCATATAATACATGCATAAATTCATATATCTTCATAGCATAAGGAAAGAACATCAAAACCCCTTTCCAAGCCTACTTGTGTAATGCATAAGTGAAGTCCCATAACCTCACTCACACGAAGTAGAAATCGTTGAGAAGTCATAAGTATAGTTCATGTTCATATTGTTGTCATATTCTTATTCTTGTCATGTAGGGAATTAGCCTTAACCGTCATAGACCATGTTGAGCTACATGGAATCCGGTGTCACATCCCACACCAAAAAGAGATGTCCTACTTGTCTAAGGTAGAACTAAATTTATTAGCTTTTAGGTGGATTCAGTAGCTAATAACCTATGTGGGCACATAGTTATGGGATAGGGAGATTGCTTCTAGAAACCCCAGACCTATTGCATTGACGGGGGAGCTTCCATCTCATGATTTTACCTTAGATGACCCAGCCTATTGAATTTATGGGAGGGCCTCTAACTCATATTCCATATACTCTCGGTGCTAAGCGTTATTTCCGAAAATTATATGTTTTGTCTTGAATTGAATTTACATGCACGAAGGAGTATCTTACCCTCCATCAAACACAACTGATAAATAGCTCATAGATTCATTAAGTGAGAATGGACTTTCAACCTTAGAATCATCATTAACATGTGAGTAAACCTTTCACATCATGTTCATAGTGTGTTCATGAGAATAGCCTTTCAATCAACACAACAACATTATCATAGTCATAGACATTTCATGCATAATCATGTGTAGGGGTATTGGGGAGATTGATCTTTCAACAATACCACAATTACACCATAGTCATAGTACCTTCACTTTCTAAGTGAATCATAAGCTCATACACAAATTATACATGTACAAACCCTCATAATTTGCCCTTCAAGGATCATGAATCACTATCAACCCAACATCTAGGATTAATACATTAGATAAGGGGAATATCAAGATTCATTAACACAATTAATATAGACATAATAAATTGACATGCTTTTATAATCAATCCACCCACATCATGAATTCACAATTTAGTAATATGGGGGATTCATGGGTTCTTGAGGAAATTTCATCATAAATCAATATTAAATCATCAATTTAATCATATTCCATCATAAATCAACCATTGAAAACGTTTTGAAAGAGAACCCATGGCTTAGATTGAAACCCTAGTTTTTGGGGAAATTGGAAGCTTTAAAATCATGTTTTGAAGGGACTCTATGGGTGGAAAATAGCCATAGATGAAGAGCCACCATACCTTGATTAATAACATCCAAGAAATTTGAGGAAGAAGCCTTGAATTCGTCCAACCCTAGCTCCAAATCCACGCTTCTTCTTCTTTACGTTTTAGAGAGAGAAATATTGTGAGGAAGATGAAGTTTTGGTTTGATTTGGGTGTTTGAGTATAATGATTTAGTTTAGGAATTTTTTACTTAAAAACAACTTATATAGTGACCCCTAAATTACCCAAAATGACCTCACTTTGATTGGACTTAAAAAGGAAATTACTTAATTGATCCTCACTAAGTGAGCATGCCCAGGCACCACGAGCTACCTTCACTAGCCTTGGTGAGGACAACGATCCGTGGTTCCACTCGTGAAGGTTGGAGCAGTAGCTAGGCACTTGGTTCCACAAGCTCACAAGCCCAAGGCATTCCCACGAGGTGCTCCATGAGCCGTGGTCCCTCTCGTGATCCTTGAGGCAGTAGCTAATATACTTGAGGCCTCTAGCTCAAATGCCCAAGGCATCTTCACAAGGGGCTCCATGAGCCAAGGTCAAGACCACTGGCCATGGTTCCCCTCGTGGACCTTGAGGCATTAGCTAGGCCACTTGGTGGCTACTTCTCAATGCCAAAGGAAACTCCACGAGTCCTCCCACGAGCTGTGGTCAAGACCAGTGTCTGTGGTGATGGCCATGTAAGTTGAGGCAGTGTACCCAAGTTTGGGGCAGCCTTGGGCTTTGACCCTTGGCCTTGGCACTTTCCCTTTGGTCTTTCCTCTTTTAGCCCTCATTTCAACACTAGATAGTCTACTAATCTACGGAGAGTCATTTTATGATTTTTAACTCTTTCGTTTAGCTCTAGTTTAGCCTATAAGTTTCCGGAGTGTTACACATTGTCCTAGCATTTTTCACATTCCAAGTACGAGATAGTGTTAGCCCTTAATTTTGCAGCGTCACATGGTCTTCACTTTCTCCCACCTAGCACGGCGTTCGGACAGGCTTCTGGATTTGGCCTTCGTAGTCACGATCTAGGTGTCACATTTGCGAAAACCATGTTTTCTGTAATCGCGTTCATAGACCCTACTTTGCTTTCACTTAGAGTAAAGGTGCACCATTCACATTCGCGAGGTCCCTTCCACATTCGTGAAGAAGGGCTAGGGTTGACCTGACCCTGTTAACAACCACGATAGTCACTTTGGGACCGTGTTCATAGAAGTAAGTTAACCGGTCTTTAAAATAAGAGATGCCCATAAATCAGCCCTCTTTTATTTTTCAATTGGAGAATTTGGGAGATGTAAGACTTAATTTGGATGATTTCAGTTGTGTTGGATCAACATTTTGTGGGGCTTTGTTATGGAGTCTTCAGTCTAGGGGCTTGATTTAAGGGTAAATTCTCATTCTGCAAACATTTCTTAACTCTTTGATAGTAATATCATGTGATACTTAACATTTTTGGGCACTTGTTCTTTCAACTAGACTGAACCAACTAATGGAATCAATTTAAGATTCCTGACATGGATCCCACAATTTTGTTTTTTGACCTGATTTTTTATCTGTCTTAAAGGATTTCAATTTTTGTTTCCAGACATCTTTTTGACATCGTAATCAATATTATGATAACATGGCGGTGATCGGAGGTGTTTGCAAAGATGAAATATTTGATAAAATTGATTTGGAGCGTGCATTATTGTTTTTGAGGTATGCTACAATTTACTTTCTTTTGTTGTGCTTTATCACAAAATCTTTATAATGAAATGCATGTGATTTAGGATTGTACATGTTAGGTTTAGAAATACTTCCTTATTACCATTCCCTTGTTTAGATTAGAAGCTCTTTACTAGTCTTGGGCTATAGGATCCTTAACTTAGGCTTATAGCTCCTTGATTATAATTTTGTTAGTGCATTTATCATCCTTAGGATTGATAGTTCGAGCCTTAGTATATATTCTGACATAGATGCTTTTGAGTGTGTTTTTAGTTATCCTTTAGCTGTTTATTTCTCCCTTTAGTGATTGCTTTGGTTTTGGTACCCTTTATTGGGGCTTGAAACCTTAGTTGCTTGAATTAGCAATAGGTTGGTTTTAGCTCTGCGCGGTTATCAGTTGATTAGTATTTTTGGGGTAAGACATCGATCCTTGATTTTATTTTCCTCCTTTTGATTGTTAAGCTCTTCTTCATTTCCTTCGTTTCTTGAGTTGATGGTAAATCGTTAGGCACAAATCCTTGGTCGAGGACCAACTAGAATTCTGGTTTGTTTCTTCTACTTAGGAGCGTGATAGTAGAGGATTGGTAATTCTCGCTATTCGTTGCTCTTGTTTGAATCTTTGTAATGGAATGCATTACACTTGATACTCATTTTTACCTATTTTTTTGTACAATCCCATTTCATACATTCGTTTTTCACTATGAAGTTGGCCTATGCCTAAAAAATACCGCTTGTTGGTACTCATATTACACTTTTTGCATCATGTAGAATATTGTACAAGTTCGCGCCGATGTTATAGGCCTCGTGTGGAGCAACATTTTAGATTTTGACATTGGGTGAGCTCCTTAATTTTAAATTAGCGAGGACTAGACTTTATTTTGCATACGAAGACAACTTTGTATATATTTTTATTTTTAATACCTTGTACGCCTATTTTTATTAGACACTCGACTACATTTTGATGTCAGGTGTTGGGGTTATTTTTTACGTGTATATATGTTTTCTTCCCCTTCTTCTATTTTTTGTTGTTCCCCCATTACCCTTATGTTTGCTTATGTGTGATAGCCTGTAAATCATGGTCCTGGGTTAAGTGTTTGACTTAGTTATGTGTGGAGTGTAGTCGGTGCCATGATGAACTGAGAAATTGGATCGTCACATTCTTATGTTTTTTAAGTATAATTATATATAGACCATCATTAACAAATTATTTTCCTTTATATTTTTTTCTCCATTTCAATACTTTTATCTAACTTCTTGTTCGAATCTCTTCATTTTAAACCACTTTAATCCTCTACATCAAAAATACAACTAAGCATAAGCAATATAATTAGTACTCAAAAGGTTATAATAATGCTAAAATATGATGTAGATAGTGACTAAATATATGTATTTTTAGTTGAACATCACACTCTTTAAAAAAATTAAATAGGACAAATTTAATTTTTAATCTAATATTTTGCTCTTATTTATGTCTTAAGATATAATCAATTTTAACTTGATATTTACTCTATCATTAGTCTATCAATTACAATAATTACTTCTTAAGGTAAAATGAGAAAAACTAATTACTTTTGTCTTAAAATTTTATAAACGAAAAACACTAATAAATTTTTTGAAAAATCATGGAAAATAATTTGAGATAAATATAGAATAATTCTAATTCATAAGGTAAAGGCATGCAGAATTATACCTTGTATAAAAGTTTTTGAATTGTGTACTTGTTTATAAGCTTTATCTTGGAATTGGAGTCAAGCATTCTTTGTAATTTATAGCTCTCATACTCTTTTTACACCCATGTATATTCACTTCCTTGATTTCATTGGAGTGGAGATCAAATGACATCAAATATCCACTTTTACTTTGAAAAAGCAATATATAATCTTTCCATACCGCTAATGGGGAATCAGTAGGAAGACCAATTATTGTGAATTTTCTAATCCAAGACTCATAAATATTGTAATCCTTCATTATCCAAATTTCCATCAAACTTGTTGTTGGATCAACCAAGGACTCTTCACAAGGGTAACATAACAAGCTTAGAGACTCATTCAAAAGTAGGAGGCTATGAAGTGTACCATTGTAATAATTGCCGCTATCAGGTATTTGCATATTGCGGAAAATTTCGGTTGTCATGTCTAAGCAAAGGATTTTATCTTCGCCTTCAAAGAATGCTATCCAGTGGTAAACTCCCTTAAAAGACACCGAAGAATTTAACCAACATAATGTGGGTAACTGTTGATTATTCACATGATCCAATTCTCTCCAAATATCAATACCTACTTCATAAACTTCAACCTTTTTCTTTCCATCTTCTATGTACCCGTAACCATCTTCCTTGAAAACTTCAGAAATTCTAAAAACCTTGAAATCATTAACAACTGAATCAAAACCAAACCCACCACTTTCAATGGATTCATAGAATCCCTTTGGAATGTCAAAAGGACTAGGGGGGAGTAGTATATAATTTCTAGTGGATACATTGTATAGTATTGTGGTTTCTGGGTTCATCAAAGCAATTAAACCATGTCTAGAATCTATGAGTAGGTCATTGTCAACACTAATAACACTTATCGTATAAGGAACATCCAGATCTGGATAAACAAACTTTGGATTATCATTACCCGTAGTAGAAATAAAAGAAAAAATAGCTTTAAATCTTTGAATATCTTCTTTGAAGGAGCGCTTTAGGAGAATGTTATTGTATGTTGATATTGTTGTGCGATTGAAATGAAGATTGATGAAATTTGAAGATTGTATGAGAGTATAAAATGTTTTGGAGACACATTTGAATCTCAAGATAAATTTTACTGGAAGTCTCAAAAGAATATGAATGATCACATCTTCTGGATACTTCTTCATAATTCCATCTGCCATCATATATTCTTTGTGATATAATTTCTGTTGCAGTTCGGAAAATGATGTGCTATATAAAGTAATAATCTTTTAGCACCTAATCTCAATTACAGCCCAAAGCTTATTCTTCGCACATTAAGATCCATAACAAACTAAGCATCATGTATTTTGTGGCTCCGAATGTGTTTTCCAGTGCAACATATTTTTCCTTTTTTTTAAACAGTTACATCTATTAATTTTAAATTAATTAATTTCAAATTGGTATTAATATATATATAAATATATATACTATATACTAACTTAAAAACATGAACTCCCAAACATGAATGTTGAATTAATATTATACCCCCAATTAAAAACACTTAATTTATTTTATTTATTTGATTTAATTATATTATATTAATTGAAGATACTTTTTCACACTAAAGAATTGTGACTTTTCCGAAGGATTGTGATGTTATTAAAGGGTTGTAACTTTACCAAAGAGTTGTGCCTTATCCGATGAGTTGTGACTTTCTCATAGGGTTATAACTTTTTTGATGAGCAGTGACTTTTCGAAGGGTTGTGATTTTTCTTGTAAAGAACAATCAGTACCTATTATTACTACTATTTGTTAGCTATAACTTGAGAGTTTCCTCTAACTTTTAAACTATGATACTTGTTAGGTTTTCTATTCTTCATCTTCTTAAAATATTCCTAGAGTTATTTGCAACAATTGATTAAGTTCAAAATTCAACAAAATTGGAGGTACCACATAAGAAAGAGTTTGTGAACAAATTGTAACAAATCATTCATCAATTTACACTGATATTTTCCTCTTACGATTTTCATCACCTACATAATTCAATATTATTTATATCATTTTACAACATTATTACCATTTTAATTAACCTAAATATTTTATTTATTAAAAAAAATTAATTTCCTACAAATAGTCACAACAATTTCTACATTCATGTTTCTTCGGTGATAAATTACAACCATCCACTACTTATAAATTCTTGGAGTTCTCTTTTCTGTGACAATTTGAGATCATTTAATAATTTCATGTATTATTAATCCCAAATACAATGATATGTTTAAACGAAGTTCTTAGCATTGGAATTTAGGTATTGACTTTCTATTAAAGAAGAAAGGAGGAGAACAAATAAATGTTCAATTATGCACTTTGCTTCACGCACAAAACTTCTATATATAGTGCACGGTAATTTTTATTTGTTTTTCTTGTTTAGTTTCTTTAAATTTTTTTTTTTGTGTTTTCATTCAAGGGAGAATTTAATAACTAATGTTCACATAATGAGTTAACAATGACGAATACACATATTGATTTTATTACTATTGGTACTCCTCCAATGATTATTTCTTTTTCTGTAGTTTCTTCGGTATACATTAATGCTTTTGGTAGTCCAGGGCATGATTGCTCAGTAGTTATTATTTCATCTTCCGTTACTAATTCTCTTGTAATGTAGTTTTCTTCTCGTCCTGTATCTATTAATATTAAATATTTTCGTTGTTCCATTATTCCCGTTATGTAATAATGATGTGGTT